ACCCGGGAGGCAGAGTTTGCAGTGAGCCGACATCGCGCCACTGCACTCCAGCCTAGGCGACAGAGCAAGACTCCGTCTCAAAAAAAAAAAAAAAAAGAAAAGAAAAGAAAAGAAAAGAAAACATATATTAACTCACAATTTCAACAGTTTATTTAAAAAATGAAAAAATAACAAAATAAAGAAATGTTATATTGGCCTATCATTTCTCTCTTCCCCATGTTTTTAGGGAAAAAGAATAATTCTGGTTTGCTCAAAGTTCTTTTCTAGAAAAAAGTAACTGATGTGTTTTCGGGAAACATCTTCATATCCTTGCAGAAAGACCTTCCATCTGTGCTTATTAAGGGTTAGATTTGCGTTTTAATCCCAGAGTAGCTTCTTGTGTTTTCAGTGTTCCCGTTCTCATCACATGTGTTTGAAGAATGAGAAGGGTGAGGTTGCACAGATGAAAGGCTTGGTTTTCTGAAGGCTCGGGTCTGTGACAAAATGAACATGAAAACTCCAGAGCTGTCTAGGAAGTGAAACAGCCTTCAAATAACGGAAATGTCTTTAAATAACAAATTTTGGAATGATAAAACAGTCCTGACCTTAACTCAAAATTATGGTTGACATGGTGTTTCCTGTATTTACGTATCTATCTGTGCTTTTGAACATTGAAAGAAATGTGACTACTTCACATAAAAAAAAAAAAGAAAAAAGAAAAAAAATTATGGTTGTCGCTATAAAACTCCCTGGGTCTCATACATCAGCCTTATTAAAACAGACCTTCCATGTGATATTTTAGTATTTGTAAAACCCCGCTAACTACAAAATGGATAGCTTTCCTAGTAAGAGCTTTTTTATGTCTTGCTGAATAGCTTTTCTTCCTGCCAAGAAAACTACACATGATAAATACAGCACTATATGCACATATTCTGTGGGGAAGGGCAGAATCGCTTGGCACTCTGAAAATGCACGTTACTCTGGGTGTTTTGCTGAGTATGGTAAATTAAGCATTTTTAAAATAAAATGGTTTGGGTTTCAGGGTTCAAGTTATGTCGACAAACATAATATGTTGTCTTTTGTCTTCATTTCAAAAGTGAAAGGATTAGGTCTTGTACCTCCACACATCATCGATATATTTATGGTTGCTTCTGGCCACAATCTCAAATAAGACATTCTTTTATGTGTCTCATAAACAGCTATTTCATACATACCTATATTTATCTGAACACGCATACTAGTTACCTAGATGCGATATAACTGTACGCAATGTGAGTGAGGAAACTTTACTCAAGGATACTTGAAAATGTATACAGCAGCTACAAGGGGCATTTTTTCCCTCCTCCCTAAATAAAAGTAAAATAATTGCATTAACCAAAAAAGCACACGGAACTAAATCATTTAGTAAACATGCGTGGAAAAAGATTGCTGTCCCGACTCTACCTCATCCGCGTAGATAGAAACTTGTCTAGATGTTTTGTGTGTGGACATGTGTGTGAGTGTGTCCACCAAAGGGAATTGCAGGCTAAAGCCTGCCTCTCTATTGCCTGACGCTTGGACCCTAGGCTGAGGAGATAACTGGCATTTTATGGTTGTCTCTGTCATTGTTTTAGTACCAAAGTTTGTCAGCAACAATCACTTGTTGACAAGTGGAAACAAACACACAAAAAAAACTAAAAAGCTCTGCCATACAAAGTAGATTTATTTCAATACTTGTTCAAGTAAGGCTTAATAAAAGACTTGGAATGGAGATGGGCTTATAACCCATAAAGAATCATTTCTATACCCTCAAATAGAGAATTTGGAGGGTTACTTAGTAGAGGTTAGACGAAAAACAAAACAAAAAATACCACTTTGCAGGGAATTTCCACACAATTATAGCAGATCTAGGGGCTTACATTCTCTATTATCTTTTAACATAAAGTTTAAGGCTGAATTAACGTGAAAGACATCTTTACTTAATGAGATAATGTCACTGAAGGTAACTGAAAGCTTTTGGAACGCAGAAGAGCAGCATGTATCAGCTATTACTACTATCATTATTCATCAGAAATTCTGTTTAAAAGGTTACTCTGACTACTGGGTAAAATTTTATTAACACTTTTCTCTCTCGTGACTTAAAAAAAAATTTAAGCCCGTTTTAATAAAGGTCTCATGCTTGATACATTTGCCTGACTTTTAAAAAATAATCTAAAAGGTGCAAAAATGTTTAAAAGACCAGTGGGGTATTTGACATCCTATTCAATACTTTATTTTGCTATTTAAGTAAAGAAGACAGAAAAAAATACACATTGTGATTCTGCCTAGATTTCCTTCTATGGAGTTAATCATGAACAGGAGGCATATTTGAGAGAAAAGTTTGTTGTTGCTTATTTAAACAGTTCGCCACGGAACGCTCCCTAGACACGGACAAAGAGGGCACGTCGGCACTAAAGTGTTTTTGTAGCTGTGGACTGATGCTAACACAGCCCCGCGGAGAAATCAGAAAAAATCAGTGGCTCTAGGCAGATGATCAGACTTATCTTTTTAGAAACTGTTACTTCTGCTGGAGAGAAAGAGACAATGTATCTCTACAACTTTCTTAGAAAATGGTAGTGCCTAACCCCTCTCCTCTCTCAAAATTATGAGGCGAAGTTTTCCTGCTGCATTATGATCATGAGGAAATAGAGTGCTTCAGCTTGCGAGGCTGCCTGGATTTCCTTGCGTGGAGTCAATCACGAACAGGAGGCAGACTTGTCACCTATCCAATATTCTGGTCCTTCTTAATTATTGTGTTTATAATCAATCAATTCTATTTTCCACTTAAAAAGAGAAAAATAACTACAGAGAGGCTAACTTGGATGGCCTGACTGAATGAACTGGATCTCTTGGGATGTGCACAGTACCTCCTGATGGGCCAGGACATTCCAAATGACCAAGCAGCCCTAATAGGACTCTACTGAAAGCAACTTTGTTCTAATGAAACTGTGGGTATGCCTGGATTTTGTGTTGCTCCCTATAGTTTGTAAATCACAGGAAATAGGCATTTTGATCTGTGTCTCACCACGATCCTTACAGACAGATAGAGCAGGCATGATTTTATTATTTAAGTTACAAGGTTCAAGTAGGTTAAGAACGAGCCCTAGCAGACAATGAAAACTGTATAACTGAATGCATTTCCCTTTTTGCTTTGACTGCTAGGGAGCTCAGATCTAAATTTAATATTTGATAACAGTGACTTTACTTATTTAAGATTTTCGATCAGTCATCTTTAAAAGTGTGTGAAACGTTTTGTTGTGTTTGTGACATTACTGTAAGACTACGAAAGGTTTTGTAAACGATTAAAAAAGGTAAGTAATCAGGCCAAATCAGAAGTAGAAACTAGTCTAGGTACAACTTAAGGGCCCTGAATAATTCCAAATAGGGGAAGGTAAAAATTCAGAGAATAATAGTAGGTTGGTGCAAAGGCAATTGCAGTCATTGCTATTAAAAGTAATGGAAAGACCACATTTACTTTTGCACCAACCTAATAACTATGGAAAATAGTAAATTTCCTATTTCCCACAGTAGTTCCCATTCTACAAGTACGCCAATCTCTTGAGTCACATAGATACAAGGGCCAAGCCTTAGTAAACTGTATTTGGGAGACTTGGTTTGATAAAAGCAGAAAAGAGGAAGAGAAAAACTTCCGAATCAATTTAATATGTAATTCATTTTAAAGGGCTTTGCCTAAGAAACACGGAGTTATATAAACCCACGTGGACCTGGATGAGGATATCCATACATTGGAAGAGAAGGTTGTAAACAAACAGCAAGTTTATTTAAAAAAAAAAAAGTATTGGCAGAAAAACAAAAAGAGTACACCAGATGCAGGTTGCCAAATGTGGTCATTTTGTTTTTCATTGAGCAAACTGAAGCCACATTAATCGGCATGTTTTATTTTGGCTTAACTACATTAGGAGGCGGTTGTAATTCAAATTCCTTATGGGCCTCTCTGGAACCCATCTGCTGTATCTATCATTAATTCTAGTGTGTCTTCAGTCATGGTGAAAAATCACTCTGATAGTTCACAATGTGAAGAAACAGTTAGTCCCTATATGTAGTTTAAAATGTGGCTTTTAAAATCATCATGTGCATTTGTTAAGTCAGGCACATGAATGAGAATGATCAGTTACACTCTCTCCTTTCAAACATTCAACGGGCCCAGGGAGCCCCAAATCCCCCACCAAACCCTTGGCTTGCCAGGGAGAGACAAAGCTAAGTCCCCCTCTTTCCTCTAAGGAAACGATGGACCTTTTTAAGAAGATGATTTCATCTTTCCAGAAAAATTGGTAATATTCAGATGTTCTAAAGAAATCTTGCTGTTCAAAACAGTAGTAAACTGAGTTTTATGAGTTTCTATCACAAGCATATAAAATGCTTTGCTGAAACGACCACTGAACTGGAAAAAGTCAGGAAAAATGACCCTGAATTCCAAGTGAACACTCATAAATCTACCCCTCCCCATTCTCTCTCCCCAAAGAACGTTCTGCATAAAATCCATGTTCCACATCAGCTTACCTCTTGCTTTATAGCAACTCATAATACCATGTGCAGACCAGCAAGTGTGTACTGAAACATGTTCCTTTGTGAAGCTCTTTTCAGGGCATCTAGCGTTACTATGTAAGCAGATAGTCCAGGTATGGGACAGAGTCTCGGAACAAAGCTGATGTGGCGAAGACACACTGGTCATGAAACCCCAAGGGAAAAAGAAAGTAAAAAATAAAACGTAATATGAAGAAGAAAGCCCCTGCAGGATGTCCTGAGAAGAGGATTTTGCAATTTGGGGTTATGTTCCTACACAAAAGCAAACACTTAAACAGACGCATTTTCAAGTTGGGCGAGGCTGTCAAAATCTGCTATCACTTCATTTAATATTTTGGTTGCACAAAGAAATAGGCAATACCCACCTGGGACAAGCCTAAATGGACAGAAGCAGTCTCGGATATATACATGATTTTGCCATCAGATGCTACCACAAAAACAAATCCATCCAAAGTCTGTAAAAGATAAAATGTCAGAATAAGAGATGATCATTCTACATGAGAGTTAAATCTAGCAATGGTACAGTCACTGGGATGGAGGGATGCATCAAATATGACCATCAACATATGCTTGCTAAATGCAAAAACAAAGCCCACGGTCTTAAAAAGGACTGTAGGAAACAGCACCCAGGGTTTAGTTCCCAGTCCAGGCTCTGAAATGCTTTTAAAGCACTTTAGAAACAATCATACATCCACATCACAAAAATCATGCAAAACATTTGAGAATTCCTATTATGCTCAGTTTAAATGTAGTAGCTTTCTTGTTTGGGTTATTTTAGCACTTAGTACAAATCCGGAGTTCTATGGTACTTAGGGGAAAATCTACCACTATATAGATCATTTTATGTCATAATTGGCAGTCATTTATACCACTAGGACATACGCTTTATTTGCCACAATTTTCTAGTTACCTTTAAGTACCATTTGAATAATAAATTCCAAACACTACCACTGCCCAGAAAATAAAACAAAATACCTGGTTATTTTACCAGACTATGTCTACAGAATTAATTATTTAGAATTTGCAAGAGATCAAATAACCTTTGCAAAATTCGAGGAGGAAAAGTATCAACTTCTGAAAAATGAAAACTACCCAAATGAAATTCTGATTTTTCCTAAGTTGGCTAACCCTCAAAAATAAAGTAAAACTATAAGAGGTAATTAAGACAAATAAAAGGTAATGATTATGTTTATGTGTCGAGGATAAAAAGACTAAATTATTTTTGAAAAAGGAAACTGTATTTTATTTACTCATTCATATTTTAGATCCAGAACCAAAAGAAAGCAATAAAGTTGGTGAAAGACTCATGCAACCCACAATGCTGCCCCCATAAAAAATATTCCAAATTAATTTCTGGCCACAAATTCTATTTTTACAGCATGTAATTGAAACCAGATTACCTTTGGTTTTTCTAAGCCACCTTCCCCCCAACCCCTAGAGAGGGGGCTAAAAAGAATGTAGTGTAAGTGAATCTTGAAAGATATCCTTGGATTCTGCTATCTCAAATACAGTTTGCTGCAAAAAGTCTTTGCCAACTAAACTATCATTACCTTCCCCGATGCTAAGGTTGAAAATCAGCATCTTGATTATTAGTCTAACTTTCAAGTTTCTAACTCAGCTGCAAAATATTTTCCCACCTAAACCTGTGGTGTTCCAAAAATATAAACTATACAGCAATTTCTAAAGTTATAAATGTCTTGGTGCATTTGGCATGCTTTCTTAACTCCAAAATCATTAAAGAGACACATTTAGTGAAAAAGTATCTCACAACCAGCCATCTCTGGGATAATGAGGAAAAGAGGAAAATTATCATAATTAAATTCTAAAAGTTGCCAGCAGTAGCTAAAAAAATAACATTCTTAATGGAAAATGTTGGGTATGACTTCGTAGCTTCAAATGACCTAATTCACTTACATGTATAATAACTGCAAAGACACCCGTCCACACACTGCTCCGGAATTAATTAAAGAAATGTAGCATGCAGAAGTCTGGGGGTGTTGACTTTGCCAACCAGGTTTTCACTGAAGTTCCCCAGCACTTAGTTGTCCCTGATATTAGTGTCACTTATAATATGTAGGAGTATGAAACTTGCAACACACCCAGCTCGGAGCTGGAAGTGAAGGAGGGGGAGCAGAGGCCGCCTGGGCAGGGCTCCCAGAGCGCCATTACCCACCGTGGCCACACCATGCGCTTTATGTTGTAAAAGCTCGGGGTTTCAAATATTCCCCGGGTCTTCTCTTCCGCAGGCATGCATTTTAAAAACTAAACCACACTAGGGCACTTGGGGCAAGAGAGTTGTGAAAAGATCTGCTTTTTGGAAATGCAGAGCTAGCGGCTGACTCGCTGACCTAAGTCATGGCATCCTGCAGCCAACATTTTTTAAATTATTATTTTAAAGTAAAACACAAAATAGAGGGCGGAAATGCAGAGCAGCTCTCGGTAGGCATTTTTCGATGGCAGAGACAAATGACAGGAGTGGGGGAATGAATTGGGTCGTTGATGAGGCTCTGTAAAGGGCATTTGAAAGATTGGGATCTGTCCCCAGCCAGCACCAACTGCCCACCTGGAAGTGGCGAGCTGTGCCCAGGGCTACCCCGATGACCCACAAAGCCCCTCTGCTGCCAGGGAAAAGCTGAGGTCAGGGTGGCGCGTGCAGCTCCTGCAGGGTGAATGGCCCCCGGCTCGGGGAGCTAAGCACCTGGCTCCAAACCAAGCAAGAGCCTGGAGGCCTCACCAAGTTCTGGTTATCCGGCTGGGCTCTAGAGCTAGGCCAATGGGCTAACCCCACTCCACCTTTTGCTGTGTGACCTTAGACATGTTATTTAACCTCTCTGTGCCTCAATTTCCTCCTCTTAAAAAAATGAAGTTAAAAACAGAACCCAGGCAGGACGCGTTGGCTCACGCCTGTAATTCCAACACTTTGGGAGGCTGAGGTGGGCGGCTCATCAGAGGTCAGGAGTTCGAGACCAGCCTGGCCAACGTGGTGAAACCCCATCTCTACAAAAATACAAAAATTAGCCAGGCATGATGGCGAGTTCCTGTAATCCTGGCTACTCGGGAGGCTGAAGCCGGAGAATCACTTGAATCCGGGAGATGGAGGTTGGAGTGAGCCGAGATCGTGCCATTGCACTCCAGGCAAGGCCACAGAGTGAGACTCCGTCTCAAAAACAAACAAACAAACAAACAAACAAAAAACCAACCCCCCCCCAAAAAACCAAAAACAAACAAACAAACAAAAAACAAACAAAAACAAGGCAAAAAAGAGAACGCACTCTAGATGGGAAGGGGAAGCCAATAAAGTCCGGAACTGAATGTGGCCTGCAGTAAGCTCTGGACAAGTGCCCCTGTTAATATTCTATTATCGATACTGTCTCTCCGTGCTTGCGCCCCCCGCACACACGCAGCGGCCGAATGCTTTAGAGCTCAGAGCAGCCGGATCATTCCTGCTGCTCCGGCCCTAGCGCCTGGCACAGAGCAAGCTCTGGGTGGAAGCTGCCGAGGGAAGCGAGGTTGGAAAGGACTTGACCACGCTCGGGAGGCGCCCCTGGCCTAGGTCTCAGGTGGCCTGGGGAGTCCTGGGGCTTTCGGCGGGGTGTGGGGGCAGATGTAGGGTTAGGGTAGGTTTGGCCGCAGGCCGCATCCGACATGCTAAGCGTCCATCCCTCCGCAATGGGGACCACCCCTATCCCCAGCCCCCGGCAGCCTCTGGATCTGCCCAGCCCTCCTGGAGAAGGGGCGCCTGGAGGCTGGGGTGGCGGGGTCGGAAGGGAGCCTGCGGCGGCTGCGCTCCTCCCCTGGTGCGGCCGCTCTACCTGCAGCAAGTGCGATCCCAGCTCCTTGGCGACGCTGTCCAGGGGCCCGGCGCGGCTTGGCTGTCCCCACGCGTCTCCTAAACCTGAACCGAGGAAGAAGGTAAATCAGTAAACTGCAGCGCCCAGCCCGATGCCTGGGCGCCAGGCAGGTCACGCGGAACCCCTGCACCCTGCCAGCCCACCCCACGAGTCCTGCGCGTCCCCACGCTGCCTCCCCGGCTCCGCAGCCGCCATCTGTGCTCTCGCCGTCGTCCCTTTGCCCTTGGTGAAAAAAGAAAAGGCCGGGGGAGAAATCCCCGCCGCGGCCGGCAGCCCGGGCTCCCGTGTGAGCCTGCCAGGCCCACAGCTCCCGCGGGTCGCCCACGTGCTTATGGCCCTGAAATTGCCGTTTTATTTGAAATGCCACAAAGTAATCTAATCTGCTTTGAAATCGCCATTCTCGTGGCCAAACGGGGATATCGATTTGACCCGTAAATATTCCCCCAAGGACCCTCCTTCCTTCCCTCCTTTCTTTCCCTGCTTCTCCGGCAACTCCTGTTTTTCCCAAAGGCAGAGAGGCTGAGACAAAAAGTCCCCACCGCCCAGGAGGCAGCTCCTGCCGCATAAAAAGCCCCCTACACGCTACCCCTTGGGCTTCCCAGCTCTCACAGGCGCCCTGCGAGCGCGGTCCTCCTTCCAATCCGAAACTGTCTGCCTGGGAGGGGTTTACCTGGGGGCTCCCCGAGAGCAGACTCCAATCTGGGGGCGGTGGGAGAAGGATGGGCCACAGGCCAAACTGGAAAGGGTCCCTTGTCACATAATTAGGGATCCCCCGCCCCTCCGTTCAACAGGCCTCCTGCCCTTCCTCACCACCTCCCCAAAAGCTACCAACTGGTATTACGCACCAGGGGAAAGAAGGCTCTGCCCATCGGGGCTCCCCTCCTGCTGCACCCTCGGCCTGACTGCTGCACCCCGCGAGAACCCAGGCTTGCCCTACATACTCCGAGGAAGCAGGAAAGCCGGGCGAGGCTGCGGCGCTTAGCGCGGGCTGGGACAACCCCCGACCCCTCCCCGGAGTCTTCCTGCCGGCAGCCTTGCCGTAGACCCTCCACTGAGCGCCGTGGCTGCCGCGCCAGATGGCGAGGGCGGGTGCACCGCCTGAACCCCAACCTCCCCGGAGGACAACACGCCCGCCGCCTCCCGGCCCACGAGCCTAGCGCCCGAACCCTGGCTGCTACCCCTGCGGGGCGAGCTGCAGACGCTGCTGGCGCGCCCCCAGCCCCAACCCACGATGCCCTCCCCAGACCCCAGGAACTTCAGGCCAGGCCCAGCACCAGCCCCAGCCCCAGCCCCCACTGCCTGCCTTCGTGCGGTGACGCGAGCACCTAACCAAAGGCAGGAGCCTCTGGGCAGGGCCGGATACGACGGACGGGGAACCTGACTAGCCGTGCAGATCCTGGAGACCGTTCCCGGGGCCTCAAAGCCCTTCCAAGTGGGCACCCCGAGTGGGTTCCCGAGGAGTCGCTGTGCAGTCACCCAGTCACCCTGGGTCTCTCAGCCTTCCCAGGAACGCCCAGGGCGTCGCGGTTTCTGGAGGCCTCGACCTCTGGAAGCGTAAAATGCACCTCGGCCCAGGGCAGCGGCTTCGCAAACCCTTCCCTATTCGGCAACGAAAAACTTAAAAAAAAAAAAAAAGTATTCCGGATTTAAAAAGGGATGACCTTTAATTTCTCCTCCTGGGCTCAAGGAATTAGGGGCTTATCTTGGCTGAAGAGGTGGCTAATTTCCACATACATGATCCCGAGAATACAATCACAGTTCATTATTCGGGGGCCTCCAGCCTCCACCACGGGGGCAGAGGTGGCTTTTTAATCCCGGGAAATCGCCCTCACCACCGTGATCACAGCAGCACTCCCTGCGCTCTCAGCAGCAGGTCCTTCCTCCCAGGCCTCGTGGCGGCAGCATTGGCAACCATTTAACCAGCAATGGCAAGAACCAAAATATAAATGTCCTGGGGTTCGGTGAAGTAAGACTTCACTAACGACTCAGGAATTCTCATTTCCAAAAATGGACAAACGCACCCTGGCAGCTGTCCTTTTCTCTGCTGCTGGGTCGTTCCTGGGGTTGGGCAGTTGTCCTGGAGCCGCCTTTGCCCTGTTTGGTGCTAAAGAAATTTAGGTTAAGTAAGACCAAAAGCCTTCAAAGCCCTTGGTAAGTAAACTATGCTTAATTTCTGAAACACACAAGGATTGCAAAACTTCACTCTGCATCAACTGAACACAAATCAATCACTTTAATTAAGCTAAACCCTTGCTAGATCTATGGGACTTGAACCCACAAAAATTTAGCGTGAGCCTGGCCTCTGGGCCCTGGCTTCTTGCAAAGCCCATGGAGGGAAGACTTGGGGAGAAATCTGCACCTACTGAAATGAACTCCAGACCATACTCCACTGCCCGGGATCTCCTGAAAGCCTCCTCGAAGGCCCTGGCTCTACATGCAAAAGTGCATTGGGCACACCGGACAATTGTCTGTATAATTCAAATACCCGCACACTTCAAGATAACTTGTTCTCTTAGATCGTTATAGTTTTTCTGTAATTCCCCAAAGCCTCTGCTATGTCAGCAGAGATCTGGTGCAAACGACCCTTTCCCACCTGGTGGAGGTGGCCTGGTGCTAGATGTTCCTCCCAAGCACCCCTGCCTCTAGGCCACCCCAGCCTGGGGCGGTGGCGCTGCCAGTTCTTCCATTAGAAACCAATGTGGGCAAGGTTTTTTCACTCAGCTCATAAAAATCTACTTTGGTCTGAATGCAGAGACTAAATGAAGATTTGCAACGCAAGAAAATTGTCTTGGTACTGTGAAGTGATATACACTCCCACGAAAGTGAGGCACTGGGCACGTGGCCCTTATCTGGAATTAAAGAAGGGTTTTATTTCAAAAACAGGGGATGAGAAGAGTCGGGGCTAGGCGCCTCGGAGTTAGCGGCTCCCAGCACTCACTGCTCTCCTGTAGCAGCCAGGGGTCCCCAATCCAGCCTGTGATTTCCTGCCGGAGGGGTGGGGGTGGGCTGGGGGTGAGGGGGGTGAGGTTGGGACTGGGGGGAGGGGAGTTCCCTGCACCCCTGCCGAGCGCTGCAGGACCTGTGGGGAGGCTGTGCTATTGGAAGTCAGGGATGGCCAGGTTGCCGGGACCCCCAGGGAGAAATAGAGGGAAAGGGAGCCAGCGCCTCATTCCCCGCTGCCCGCCAGCACCTGTGAGTGTGTGCATGTTGGTTCCACACCCTGCCTGCGGTTCCTCACACCACAGACACTGCCTTCACGTGATCCCTCCTCTCCGGAAGCTGGCCCTGGGGGTACCTCCAGATGCAGGTCACAGAGATCATAAACAGTACCACACCAAGAAGACTTTGGGAGCAAACGGGGAGATAGTTCCTGCACTGTGAGGTGGCCGACCCCCTTCATAAGGGCGCCTAAGGGAGACCTGTAAAGGAGGCAGCAAGCTTCGTGCCTTCCTCTGGGTGGTGGCAGGGACTGTGGGTCCAGCCCAGGACACAGGGCCTGGACTCTGGTAGGAACACCAGGTTAGACGGCCATTCTTTCACTGCCCCTCCGGCAACCTCAGGCATCTAAAAACGTCTGTGACAAAGTCTCCTCACAGGGTTCTTGTGAATATCAAATGCGGTTAACAACAAGAAGGTGCCGGTCCCTACTCCCAGCCCTCCGTGGAAAATCGGACCTGGGAGTGTGGAAAATCCAGAACAGTTTGGGAGCCCCCACCTGGGTGCAGGGGTCTCACCTCCTCCCGACTCCCCCTCCCTGCTTTAAGACGCCAGCTGGGCCCGTCGCCTCGGTCTGATCTCCAGAAGGGTTCGACCTTTAAACCTCTATTTCTCACCTCCAAAACGGGATTTTTGTGGGATTAAATGAGCGCGGCCCAGCCCGAAGCCCCGGTGTTTGCCGGGCTGCCATCACTTTGTGCCGACCTCTCTGACTTTCCCACCCTTTCCCTGACTGCGGCCTCTCCTCCCCCAATTATCACTCGCTCCAGGGGGAGCTGGAGTAGGGGAGGGGAGAGGGGTATCTCTGGGGAGCGTGACCTCTGGCGCGTTGCCGGCCATCTGAGGACTCAAGGTCACACTTTCGGATTGCAAACCACTCCAAAGTCAAGAAGGGTATGTGCGTGGCGGGAGAGGAGGGTGAGGACTGGCTGCCTCTTCCGCTCCCTGCTCCACGCAAGCAAATTTTGGGATCCTGGAGCTTTCCGCGCAGGCAGCCTCTACAGCTCCGCCACCCCCGACCTCGGCGTTTACGACCCTGAAGCCGCAGCACGACCCCCCTGCAGGGGCGGTAGACTCAGGGGCTCCCTTGGGAACACGAGGCGCCGGAAACCTGTGCCAGGGCATAAGGAGGGAGTTTGGGGCCAGTTCCTCGCCTCGCTGCTCTAGGACAGCCTACAACTTGAGCCTCTAAGCCTCCTTTCCCCACACAAGGATCCCAGTAAATAGTCGCAATTTGGGGCGCATCTGCGCGCTTCCGTCCTTCTCCCGCCTCGGAGCCCTCCTGTTCTCCCCGGGGCCCCTGAAAAGCCCGCCTCTTGCGCCCTTTTCCAAACTGGGGACCGGGTGAGAAGGGGGTGGTCGTGGGGACGCCCCAAGACAGTCTCCCTTGGCCGATGGGGAGGGGCAGGGAAGGAGGCTCCTAGCTTGGCCGGGCGTGTCGCCCGCGGGTATCCTACGTGCTCTGAGGACAGGCAGAAGGCCCCTTGCCCCCACTGCCGGTGCCCAGACCTGGGCAGTTCATACGCCGCCCCAGTAGCTGCTGGCTCCGAGGAGGTCGGCACGCACAGCAGTCCGGAGGCTCCCTTTCAGCCCCGGGGTTCAGGGATCCAGGTCCTCCTCTAGCCCCGCGCTGAATCTGCAGCGCGCGCTCCACTTCCTCGCCTCCAACGAAAGCACAGGCCCTGTGCCCGGGTGTCCCCTTTACCACGTCCCAGATTGTCCCCTCTGCGCCTGTGAGCTTTCCCTCCTGGATCCCCGGCTGCAGCCTGGCAGGCTTCAAAGCAGGGATGGGGAAAGAGTTGTAAAAATCTACGTTGTTCTGTTAAACAGTCGACCTTTAATTAATCTGCATTTTTTCCAGCGGAGGTAGAGAATGGCCTCACATCTATGACGCCCTCACAGGTATAGAGGTGAGTTTCTCCTCACCCAGCTCTCCAAATCAAGTCACTTTGGTTCCGGGAAACAATGTCTAAGATAACTTGGCTTCTCTTGGAGTGCTCAGGTGGAAGTGGTGATGGGGGCACCTGCAGCTGAATTTAGTCCCAAAGGCACCCAGGCATTGGAAGAGTTCAGACCTTGAACCCCACCTCTTTTTGTGTGGGCAAATGACAGTTTCTGGAGTAGCAATTCCTTCTCCCTCTTTCACCCACACCCGTCTTGGGTCTTTCGGGTTGGGAAAGGGAGATGGGGAGACTTAACCTTGGTTTCCAACTTCACTACTGAGCTGGGTCCTGGGACCAGTCTGTTGTGCCAGGTTTGCAGTGGCACTGCTGTCTGGTGCTGGAGGCCCTGCCTCTGACCTCCGACGAGCAGAGGCTGACCTGCGTCCTGCTGCCTTTGGTCAGAGCAGCTATGGCCGGGGAGCAACCCGAGTTCGGAGCAGCTGTGGCCAGGGAAGAACCAGAGCTTGCCTGCCAGCATGCTTTCACGGTTTCCAAAGCCGGTATCTCCAGAACAGAGGGCCCACTTTGGGGAGGGCCGGCTGACCACCGGACTCAGCGCTGCCCCAGCCCGGAGCTTATCTTAACCACCCGCCAAGACTCATCAAGTTTTCCATTTTGAGCCCATGTCCAAAGCCAGCCTTGCTCTCCTGTCCTCTTCCCAGTCCTATCTACTTTCCATTTGTTAGTTCACTGTCAAAGGGGAGAAAAGATGGCCACCCAGAAAGCAGGGATCTTCAAAGTCCAGGCAGTGAGTCCTTCATCCCTGCCATTCAAGACTCCTTTGACCCAGGGAACATGGGCAGCTCACAGGAAGGGGTGAGTGGCCTAGGAACAACACTTAGGATTCCCCCTCACTGCATAGTTCTGCTTCTGGGACCTCAGTCTTCATCACAGCAACCCTGTGCATTGCTAATGGGCCCATTTTACAGACAAGGAGACCAAGGCCGAGTAGCACAGCATGACAATGGGGACTTAAACCTGGCTGTAAATGTTGAAAGCATCCCCAAGCCATTGAACTGGCTACTGAGTGAGGTGCTTACCCTGGTTCTGGTGGTCTCCCTCTGTCCTACACACAGGGACCCCTCTGAGTTCCTTTTTCTGTTTTACCACCTGAGGAGATCTGGGTTAAAAGGAACAGAGGCTGGCAGCCTCCTGGGTGCAGTGGGGTGAGAACATGCCCCACAGGACCGCAGTGGCAGCAACTGGTCTGCTATTGCCCTTGCTATGGGGCCTTGAGAAAGGCCTGTGTCATGTCTGGCCTCCATTTCCCCAGGTATGAAGGGTTAATCTTGTGATCCTTGCAGTTCCTTAGCACTATGCTATTCTTTTTATTTTGTTTTTCCTCCCAGAGTCCTAAGTTGGTCTCTAGATTCTTTACCCCAGCAATCCACTTGCTTTGAGACAAGACCGCCCTTGGCGGATCAATTCCTCATGGTATTTTTCACCTTGCAGCTGAGAGCCCAAGGCCATCTGAGAGCCCCTGCCACAGCCCGGGACTACCCTGGCCCTAAAACCTCCCTAGGGCCACCACCCTGACCCTGGCAGCTCAGACAGACCCTATTCCAACCCTGCAGCTGTATCCTCCCTCACAGACACAGGTTCCCTGAGAAGAGGTTAAATCAATCAAGATGCCACTCTTTGGAGCTACTGGAAGGGTGACCAGTTTGCATAAATGGACTCCTGTTTGCATAATGGAGGTCTTTCTAAATGCATCTTCCTCCTCTGCCCTAAGCTCCCAGCTTCCCTATTCCTCAGCCCCAGACTGACTGAGGGCCAAGGCCCCTGAGCGGCTGTCCTGACGAATTCCAAGGATATGTGTCCACCCACTCTAGGTCTACCCTACCCCAGGCATCGCAGGAATGGAGGACAGAGGGACTAAGCCACTGCTCCCTTCCCTTTCTGAGAGGGACCAAACAGGTTCAGGGCCCTTTCCAAAACTCTAGGGCCAAACAGGTCCCTTCCAGAGTGCCAACTTCCAGGGTCACCCCCCAAAAAAATACACAGGAGGCCCCTCAACTTCTCCCAAACCTGCCACCAGAGCAAGCTGCTCAAGTCCTGGCCCCCAGAAGGACCACCCCGCACAAACTCAGGGCCCAGCAATTCTCAGCCCAAATGCCTGGAGACTTGCTTTCCAGAGCCAGAACGCACAGACCCGGTTTAAAGGCGGCTGAGCGGTACACCCACCACTTCGCAGCTTTCCACAGGCTCTCCGGGAAATCCCTCACACGGCGAACAGTTTTTGAGCAGCCGTGTTTTCTCAGCCCTCCCTTACTAATTTCTGGTTTAATTGAATTCACTGTCCACAAATCATTTAATCTTTGGATTGTTTCTTCGAATGCTTTTTCTATTTCCAAAGGGGGCAGAGGGCAGTGAGCGCCCTCTTGTCTGGATTCCACACTTGCTTTGTTGCATGCGGTTAAGAAAGGCTCATCCCAGGAAACCAGTTACCACCACGCCTCCCCCGGCGGGAAGGAGACTCATAAAACCGAATGCTCTTTTAATTTCCCCTGAAACATCAACCGGAGTGGAATCATCTCTACTTCTCTGCCAAGGGGTCACCCTTGAGCAGACAAGTAGCGACCACCTTGGGCAACAGCTCTCAGCAGGAGGGGCTGGGAGTGGGGTATTTTTGCCAGGTTCCGGGTAGGAAAGGTAGGAACCTGCGCTGGGCTGAAGGACTGCCGCGCCCGAGAGGAGAGCGCCCCGGGGCTGCGCGGTAGGGCCGGGTGGCACAGGAGAGGCCAAGGGTCCTCTTCCAGCCACCTCCGCTGCCGGGTGTTCCCCGGTCCGCCCGGCTCCTGGGCAGGGGAGCCGCGGGGCTGGAGGCCGCGCTTGCAGACCGGCCCTCCGCGCTCCACCAGTGAGGCGCTGAGAAGCGCAGCTCCAGACCCAGCGACCAGCACAAACAACAGGCTTGGCAGCGACGAATGCAAAAGGTCGAGCTCTCTGATTTCGAGTAGAGTGCCTGGTGGGGATGGCGCTATGGAGGCGCCCTGCGGCCTAAGGACACCTGTCGCCTGTGCTGCAACGACCGTCCGGCGCCCTGCAGCGGAAGTTGTCTCCCTACCCCAGCACTGGCTCCCGGGGCTCCAGAGGCCGCCGCAGCCCTCCCAGCTCCTGGGCCCAGAGGACCCAGCAGACCCCTGAGCAGCGCGCCTCCCAGCAAAGAGTCAAACCCTTCGGGCCAGGCCGCAGCGACCCCTCTGGGGGCAGAGGCGCTGGAAGACGCGGCCCGGAACGCTTGGGACGCCAAAAACGAACGTTGTGGTGACCAGGCCTTCCTGAGACCTGCTGCTCGGAGGTTACTGGCCGGGCAGCCACTGTCACCAGCGGCAGCCAGCGTGGGCGGCGGGGCAGCCCACCCAGCGCGCCACCATTTCTTCCGGTTCCGAGTCTTCGGGACCGCGTGTCCCAGCGCCCCTGGCCCACTGTGACACATTTTCAATCCTGAAAAGAATGTCAGCTCCGTCTGCCATTTTCGAATTAATCGGCCTCCTCTCTTTCAGCCGGATCTCAGCTCACCAACGGCGCGGGGGTGGTGGTCTCTTCTGCCCTGACTTCCCGCACCCCAGCCTCACTAGAGGGCCCGGCTCCGCACAAGTGCTCGCTGTGTGGCCTCAGCCTGCAGTGCCTGGGCCTCGCCGTGATGCACGCTGCCTCCCAGCACGTGAAGCCGACCCTCCTTCACCTCCTCCAGGAAGAGAAAAAAAGAGGGAGGAATGAAGGAAAAATAAAGGGAATTGTAGAAAGAAAAGAAGGAAGGGAAGGAGGGAAAATGAAAGAAAGGAATGGGGAAAGCAAGCAAGCAAAACAAAACCAGGGTGAACTTCCAAAGAAAGGAAAGAAGGCAGAAAAGGAAAGAAAATAAACCAATGCATTGGCAAAGGAAGGAAGGAAGGAGAGAGAGAATGAAAGAAAGAGGAAAAAAGAAAGAAAAGGAGACAAAGAAAGAAAGAAAGAAAAAGAGAGACAGAGGCAGAAAGAGAGAAAAAAAAATCCAAACCAAACCAGAATGCATTGGTGAAGGAAGGAAGGAAGGAGGAAAGGGAGAAAGAACAAAACCAGAAAGAACCTGCAGGCTGTGAAGGCTGGGGGACTGCCTGCCCCTGGAACAATTCGTAATTCACCCTCACCCAGCCCTGGACCAGGAGAGGGTTTGGTCGCCTGGGCCGCCAAGGCCCTGGCCCCTCGCTCCAAGCCAGCGCCGAAGCCGAAGACCCTCACGCAACCTCCCTCAGACGCCCCAGCTCTGGACGCCAGGCCGCGGCAGCCCCTCTAGGCGGGCCGGCTTGAGCTTCCCGCCTGGGCCGAGGCCGCCGGGCTCTCCAGCGTCCCCGGCTGCCCACCTGCTCCTCACCTTCGGGGAAGACGGCGCGCATCTTCAGGTAGCTCGTGGTGAGGCGGATGATGGACGCTTTGTCCAGCTGCGAGGTGATGGCCGACGGCAGCGGGAGCAGCTTGGCCAGCTCGTAAAACTCGCCATTTTCCTTCTCCCTCCTGGTCTTGGCCGCATTCTTGGACTTCTCCTTCATCGCGCCTCGGCTCCGGGCATATTAGACCCGGCCGTGCTCCAGGCCCGCGGAGCCCCGCTCGTGCTGCGGCGGCTGGGATGGGGAAGGGGACGCCCAGAGCC